TGGTCGGGCAAGTCCAGGCAGCCTCTACGCTTCAAGTGTTTGCCGTCTTGTCATTGGCTCGCTGGGCCTCTGTGACAACAATGCTGCTTTCTGATTCGCCCGCGGCCACTTCGTGATGTATCGGCCTCACACTGAATGTGCCCAGGGTGCAACCACCCGGCCCTGGGCTCAACTGCTTGACGCAGCTGCTGTCTCTGGAAGGAGCCCAGGGAGAGGCTCACGTTGCACGTCGTGCTGCAACTGTCTGATACCCCTATTGGAAAATGCTGAGATAATGGCATCTTGTGGATATTCAGGCCCGCCTTCACTTAGGGCGGGCACAATGCTTGCTGGGGGCCACAGCCCATATCATGCGCATGTTGGCTAGGGCCCCGTGAGGGCACATTCCTCACATGACCCTGTCTCCGGGTCACTAGTGTGGGTGATACGAGCAGCCCCCACTAGTGCCTTTGTCGACAGTCGGCTCCAATCTATTGGGGGGGAGCAGCACCTTCTGGAAAGCGGGCCCAGCATCCCTTCTGAGAACAATTGGCCCTGTAGTTCTCATTGGTGCCAGTCACCTAATTCCTTTTTCCCAGATTGAAGGATATCTAATATAGATTGGTATAGGGGTCAGTTGTTAGGTTGGCTTCAGTGATCTGTATTACTAATTCAAGTGCTGTTTTTATTAGCTTTCCTTTCTCTAGGTGTGTGATGGGACTTTTTTTCCTTTTTTTTTAAGGGTGACGGCCTTGAGATATCATCATTGAACTGACCAGCCCTAGGTAATTCAGAAGTATGTTATTATTTTGTTAATCTGACTGCATCTGGATTCGAACTTGGGTCTGTATTTCAACAGTTCATTGGTGTACCAGCTGAGCTAAGGCCCGTTGGTCGGGCCTTATTTGAGACCTGGTGGCTAAGTCAGCATAGCTGTCCAAATGCCATTGTTGTCTGTCACCCCCTGTAGCCAAAATCTTGCTTTCTGAAGAACCGGCGGACTGTACTTGTGGGGCTGAAAGTCTAGGAGAGACCTGGTGGCTAAGTCAGCATAGCTGTCCGAATGCCATTGTTGTCTGTCAACCCCTCTAGCCAAAATCTTGCTTTCTGAGAACCGGCGGACTGTACTTGTGGGGCTGAAAGTCTAGGATGGATCTGTTTTTTTTTTTTTTTTTTCCTTTCTTTCTTTCTTTCTTTTTTTCTTTTTTAAGTGTGAGGAATGTGCCCTCAGGGGGGCCTAGACAACGTGCATATGTTGTAGACTGTGGCCCCCAGCAAGCCTTGTGCCCGCCCTAAGTGAAGGCGGAACTGAACATCCACGAGAGGCCCTTATCTCAGCATTTTCCAATGTGGGTATCGGAGCTCTCTGCTTGTTACATGAGCTCTCCGCGGGCCAATGCAAACACAGCAAACATTCGGAGCCTGGAAAATCCTGGCTGTGCCCAACTGAAAAGAGCCCCGTCCCTCAACTGTAGACATGGGCCTGGGCGCAGACACTGGGGCCCAACTGGAAGCTACTGGAAACTTCCAAGGCCAGGCCCAGACAGTCCAGCAGCAGCAACCTCTCCCATATAGGGAGGAGGCCAGCCAGTCAAGGGAATTCTGGCCTAGGCAGGCAATGTGGACACGCTGCTGCGATAGCGCACAAGTGTCTGCATGCGCTACTGCTGGCTGGGGCGCGCACGGGCGCCTAGTGGTGAGGGGCGCTGCAGGGCAGCGGGGTGCTAGCGGCCATAGCTGCACTGTTGGGCGAGAGGGGGTGATGAGCGGCGGTGGTCTTCAGGAAGGAGGCGCAGGTGTGGGTGGAGAAGGGTGATGAGGGGAGTAGAGAGTACGTACCTGGTGTATGTGGGAGGTCGGCATTGGTGTTGACGTCATGTACATTGGTCTTCAAAGTCGAAGTGAGCCTGTTGCACGAATGTAGATAGGCTAGGTAGGATGAGTAGAGTAGGCTGGGCGCGGGACACCAGACTGTAGGAGCGACATTGAATACTGCGTTGGTGTGGCCTGAGGGCTTGGACATTGGCACACGAGTTCATTACATCACTCTTATTTGGATGGAATCTTGGTGCATTTGAGCTCTCTGCTTGTTACATGACTATCTAGACTTCTGCGTGATTTTGCAACTTGGTTTTCTGTATATCACTCTCACTCATGTTCCTTGCAACTTGGTATCGGAGCTGGTTCGAGATCGCCATCACCTAACGCTGGCGACATTGTTACTTGGTGCGTTGACGATGCTTCTGTGCAGTGAGGATACATTGGTGCTGGCTTGACTATGCGACACCTGGGTAGAGGGGTGCGTCGCAGGAAGGCTGTGGCGACAGTGGATGTATGTGTGATGATGAGAGCATACTGATGTGGCATTTTGGCTGAGGTGGCACTGCATTGTGTTGTGGGTGGTATCAAAGCGACGACCGGTCATCGAAATGCACATTGGCTCAATTGGTGAGAAATTTGTGGTTGGGGGCAGCTATCTCAAGGTACGTTGTTCCCTTACCTTATCTTCCCTCTCAATCTCTTCTTACCGTGAGGAAGTGAGTCCAACCTTGAGTGTCCTCTTTTGAGAAAGGAGTCAAGAACGCTTTGAGAGACTACATTCTTCCCCGTGGCGCATCTGGCAGGAGAGGGTGGTGCCTCTGAAGGGCCCTGGTCGAAGCATGGGTCACGATCACCATGCCAACCCATGCGAGTAGTGCACGCAGGCTATGTTGCTTTGTCCTTTAAGGCTCTTTGCTGACCAGTCCTATGCAGACGGTTACCAGACCGTCTATAAACATTTCTGGCAGGGATCTGAACTGTACGTTGGCTGTGTTGCATTTCGATGACCAGGTCGTTGCACCTGAGGACCTTTGGGGCTGTCCTTAAACTGCCTCTTGATCAGCCAGATCAGTCAGATGTAAGGCTCGTTGCACGCGAGGATAAAGAAAGGGCAGTACTGGTCATAAGTGAATTCCTGGGCACAGGGGTGGGCCGCTAATGCGCACCTTAGACACCGCTGCTTGATGATGCAGACAGGCACGTTGGATACAGGGGAAGGAAGGTACCAATTGACGCTCAACTGTAAATCACAACCATACCCATTGTGCATACATCTGCTCACATGATTTATTTTTATTTTTGATTAGTTGGTGGACAGACTGCGCCTAACAGGCAGCCTAGATTAGCACTGAAGTGTTCTACCATAGCCAGTTCTGATCGAAGCTGCTGTGAGTGAAACTAATCAAGGTAGGATTAGATCATGTGTAAAGTTTGTGTAGATGCTTGTTGATACCGTTTGAACAGTAGCCTACGTGACTTGCCGAATATTATTTTATTTTTGTTTATTTTTCAACTCGGTCAGACACGTGCTGTGTAGGCCCCACAGAGGGCACTAGTGTAGACAGTGTCTGCCTAGCTGATGAGCGGATCAGATAGTGGTGCAGGCACATCTGATGATAGAATACAAACACGGCGGAATACATGAAGAATTCCCGTAGTGTTTCAGGTCCTGCTACCAGGTGACCAGAGAAGGTTCAGGGCCGAAGCCAGGGCCCGACATCTAGAGATTGCTAGGTTGGCAGCAGCAGCTGCGGAACAAGCACTAGCAGCAGCAGAAGCCAGCGCAGTAGCAATGGCTACATCTGCAGCGGCCTTTTCATGCCATCAGTCAGTAGGAATGCCGACTAGCTTGCAGTCCTCGTCCAGCACGGCAGGATCTAGGTCTAGTCAGATGGCGGGTTCGCAGTTCAGCTCGCCACCTCCACGCACTAGAGAGGCAATTTGACTCCAGCAAGTGGAGTTGATCCACTTACGGTTAGGGGAAGAGAAACAGAGATTAGAACTAGGAAAGCTAGACTAGAGAATAGGAGGGCAGTCAAAGCTGCTGTAGAAGGGTTAGATGACGCTGTCATTGATGATAACACAAGGATTCTCAAGGCAGGTCTCCTGTCCATGCATGCATACATGGACAGCAAACTGGACGCTATCCAGGATACCCTTGACCAGATACTGAGCACCATGCAGGGGATGGGGAGGGCTTTCCCATCTCCAACAGGTGGGCCCAGTTTCTAGCCTCCAGTTTTCCCATCACCGGTTTCCTCGCCGGTGGTCACAAGTCCCACTATGTCTTAGTTTAGCAGTTCACCAAGAAGTACATCAGCAGCAGCAGAACAGACTGTTTCAGACTGTTTCTTCTTCATCTTCAGGTCCAGCAGGTGGTGCTACAGAACAGGTGGTCCCACCCCCACCCCCCGAAAAAATCCGATTTAAAAAAAAAATAATCTAAAAAAAAGATATGTTGTGCAGCATTACAATACCAAAATCTTTTGGCTGAGGACCATATCGAAATTTGTAGCCAAATGCAAGGAAAAAACAAAACAAAACGTTTTTTTTTTTTTTTTTTTTTTTTTTTTTTTTTTTTTTTTTTTTTTTTTCAATCCGGACGATCTGGAACAGTCCAGACGTGTCTGGACTGGTCCAGTGTGCGTGTCCGGTGTAACCATGTTCTCTTCTTTTCTTTTCTTTTCTTTTTGGGTCTTTCAGCTTTTCTAGCATTAGAAAACTGTAACAGAAGGCACTTCATGATGCAAAGGAAAGAGTTGATTAAGGCTGCGCTTGGGTTACTATAGCAGCCAAGGGTATTTTACTATTTCTTTGGTTAGCAATATATTTTAATTAGGAAGTGTGAGCTGTTACCAAGGGGCGAGGAGGAGAAATTTGCACTCTCTTTTATGGGTTAATCCCTTTGTGCGGGACAATAAGGACTCTTTTCTGCTGCGTCTGTATTTCCTGGTTCAATCATGGTCTTGTCTTCACTGATTGGGCAGGAAGAGGGTGTGTGTGTGTGGGGTCGGGGGGGTTTGGGGGGGGGGAGAGGAAAGGGAAGGGAGCATTTACTCCTTCGAGAAACAAGGCTCCAAGGACTGGCATGCCCCCCCTCTTCGGAAGTTTGCTTTCATTTGTCTACTGCCAGGTTTTCTCAAGGCTGTCTGCTGATGCTGTCCACTCCCCAATTGATACGCCCTCTCTATGTTGTGCAGGTTTCTGTCTTGATAAGGTACAAAACCTCGCGTGCAGGGGCGCTAAGTAGTTATCTGGCAGAATAATCTTAGATTTCCAGCATGGCCGCGGCAGCAGGGGGACTTGCAGTCTTTGGTACAAAATCTGCAGTTGTGGTGCCAACATCGACGGCGGATCGGCCTTTGAAACTTCAGCAGCAATGCCAGAGCCGGTTTTCTGAGTCGCAAAGGCAGACACTCGACTGTTCGGCCAGACTGCAGCTCAGTTTGCGATCGACGATTTGGGCTTGTAGGCGTCACCGCTGCCACTGCCGCGGCAACGGGCGTTGGCAGGTTCGACAGCTTAGCGTGGTGCAGGTTTGCCGAAAGGTGGACACTGCGGCGGCGGGCAAACCGCGCCTTATTAATTGCGCTCAGGCAGGAAATGGCCAAGATGAGCAGGATCCACACAGTGGGGAAAGGCCTGATGGACTGAAAGGTGGGGATGGGTGGCAGGTGGTAGCAGGCAACCCTCAAAGTTCGATAAAAGACTTCACAAGATTTGTGGACAACGGGGATGAAGGTGCAGCGCTACAGACTGCCATCGTCCGTTACAGGAAGGAAAGGTCTTGGTGGGAACTGCTTGGAACGCCCTTGACCGTCGATCTCGTTTCCGTTGTTCATATCGCCGACAAGCAGTACTTCAAGGGCCTGCAGGGCGCACTCGCTGACTACGACCGCGTGCTCTATGAGATGGTTGCTAATGAGAATGATCTGATGTATAAGAGACCTCTTCGGGATCGCGGAAGCGGTAAGATGCTTGCCAAGTGGAACCCGAGGCAGAAAACAGAGGAGATTCGGATCGGAAGTCGTAAACTAAACATTGTAAGTATTATCCAGAGATTGATGGCCCGAACGCTTATCTTGGACTTCCAGCTGGAAAATATGGATTACTCAAAAGAAAACTGGTTTCATGCCGATCTGACCTGGCAACGGTTCTGCAGGATGCAGAAAGAGAGAGGGGAGAGTTTGTTCTCTTTTGCGCGCAAACTGACAGTCCGGTCAACTATGGCCCTCTTGAGACTGGATCCCTCATCCTCTGGGGCAAGTGCAAGCCTGCCAATGTGGCAGCAGTGGCTCTTCCGCTTCTCCCGCATCGTCCCGATGCCGTTGTTGGCCCTGCTGATGATCGAAGGCGTGTGTTGCCCAGCGGAGAGCCGACTATACGAGTCGCCGGAAGTCAAGGCCTTGTTGGGTTTAGACCTTGCCACTGCCCTGAAGGTATTCCTTGCAAAGCAGCTGACTAATGACCTCTTCGACAATGCATCCGACGTGCTCAACGGTTCGGTGATCATCGGAGCAAGAAACGTTGCAGCTCTTGAACAGCTAGATCTAGCAATCACCGATGGTTGTCGGAGTGTTGCGATCTTTTATGGCAGCGGCCACTTGCCGGACATCGACATGCGGTTAAGAACTGAGTATGGACTAAAGCCAGTTGGGGTGACGTGGCGCACAGCCTGGGACATCCCGGGCGCCGCGAAGAAGGTGAATCCGATCAAGTTCCTGACATTTGCGTCCGACGAACTCGCCCAAGCAGTCGGATGGCCTCTGAATCGCTTTCAGACCTTCGGTCTGATTCTTCTTTCCCTCACTCTCGCATTGGATCTATGTTTCTGGGAGGCCATTATAAAGGGGATGGACAAAGCCCTAGCCCACCTGCTTTTGACTCTGGCTGGATGACAGACAGTCAGGCTGACTGATTTATAAATCATTTAAGGCTTAAACCACCAGTACCTTTCCCATATATCGGCCGCGGGAAAAAACTACAGTAGAAGCGTTTCTAGTCGGATGAATTCGGGCTCTCCCGTAGTGGCGCGTTCGTTCATCATTGTCGCGGCTTGTTAACCGCCGCGTTTTTTGGGGCTACTGGTGGTTTAAGCACATCTCATCAGCAGGGCTACAGGAACGAGGATGAGTGTTGCCGTAAAGACCATGTCAAAGGAATTGCTGCCGAGTATCGTCACAGTGTGTGCATGGCGTGATTACCGCTAAATACGGACTGCGGAATGGAGCTTTCCGCATAAGTCCTCAACAGAAGCAAGAGGATAAGTGGGATATTGTGCCAGAGTAAAGCCGCATATTGCAGCGACTCATATGCATGCATGGTACTTGGTCACTTTTAGTGCCGATAAATGCTTACGGGAATTGCTAGGTGGTCAAAGCCTTTTTTCGTACTCGGAAACTGTGCAGAACGAAAGGAGCAAAGTGCGGCTCCAAGAGGGGGTTAACCAGCGCTGAAAAGTGGGGGTCCCTGTTAACCGCTTATGGAGCAAGGGTGCTGGCCTGGGGACAGGACACCATTAATTTTCTGGATGATGGTGATGGTGGCTGTGATCCCTATCTAGAAAAGGTGGTTGGTCTCAGGCTTGATTGACATGCGTGATACGCTTATCTGACTTGGCAACGGATGGATAAGGGCCTGCTGATGCTGAGGCTATTTTGACAGAATGTGGTCATCATTTCAGCTGTATACATAAGTCCAGGGAGCGCCTAGTGTGAATACCGCCGAATTGTCGTCAAAGACCCTGGATGGATAAGGCCTGCTGCTGATGCTGAGGCTATTTTGACAGAATGTGGCTGTCATTTCAGCTGTATACATACATCCAGGGTTCTCGCACTTGATCGACGAGTTTAGCTCTTGCACGACGTATGTATGTTCTTGGGACTCTTCGGACTCTGCAGAGGTCAAGCAAGAGGGTCCTAAAAGGCCCCTCCTTTGTGCCCTTTTCTTCACAGAGTAGGTGATAGCTAGGGGTAGGAAGAAGAGGATGACTCTGGTGGAGATGGCCGACCGCAAGTGCGCGAAGTCGTGCCGGTTGTCCTTGTGGGCGAATCTGGAGATTGGCACTGTATTATGTGCTCTGAGGCTATCGCTATTGCGCAAAACGAAGTGCAATAGTCACTTGGTCGACAACCTTGCCTGAACGGTTAAATTGCAAATTTATGATGGCGAGGACCTCTTATCGGAGGAGAATGATGATGAGGGTCTCTGGTTCCCCATGCATCAGGCTGCGGAAACAGTTGCTACTAAAATACTGTTTGTGGATGATTCGCTGTGGGCATTTCTGCGGCTGTTGGATGCACTGCACCATTATAGTGGATCTTGTGGGTTAAGGTGGGTGAAGGACGAATGGCTGAGCTCTGAGCTGTAGTCCCTGTAGAGTATAGTTCACCATAGCCACTCACTCAAGTTTTTTTGCTATGCTGTATTTACTATTGACTATTTAGTGACTTGCTGATGAAAGTAGCTTGTAGAGCGATGGAACTGGTAGCTGGTAGGCCAGTGATAGGTAAGAGTAATTGGACTCTAGAGTGGTAGAGGAGCGATTGAAGTGTGAGCTAATCTGACTCTATGTGAGCTTAAGCCGTAGGATGATTTATACCGAGGCTCCCGATGTAAAGCGGCAGCCGGTCAGTTGCGAGTCCCCGTTGGACTGGAGAGTTGAGTATATTGCGGTCGACATTCAGTCAGTCCGAAGTCGATGTTCGAGTCTCAAGTTCAGTATATATTGCTAATCTGACTGCGGAGGGAATAGACTAAAAGATTGGTTGTTGTGTTTTGGATTTAGAAATGTTAGGCATTCTGACTCTAGAGTCAACGATAGAAAAACTTATCAGACTGAAGAAGGATCGGGCTATAGATTGAATTACTGCACGCTCAGTCCCGGTCCTTTTTTGGGACATCCATTGAGAACTTGACATTGTAACAATACACAGAAGATGTCCCAAAGGGCCGAGGGATCCTTGGTCATGGCCCCTGTGCAAGGACGACACTCAACACGCGAATCGAGCATCCTCCGCAAGTCAATGGCCCCTGTGCAAGGATCACACACACACACACACACACACACACACANCACACACACACACACACACACACGCACTTGCACACGCACACACTTGCACATGCACACGAAGCGAGTACCTGTTGCAAGTTAAGTATAGACTTTACTATAGAGACTATAGACAAATGTGACTGCAGGGTAGGGTGGAGATTCCCTTAGAAAATATGTGGAACTACTCCCGCCAGCAACCGAGGGATTTGCCTGAGGAGTACCTATGGGTCATGAAACAGAAGTGAACACGGGCGACTTTTTGCAAACGTTATCTCCACTGTTATCAGTGACACTAATGAGACCCCAACTAACTGAAGGCAAATTCGTCTACATAGCAGTCTTTGCCTGCTATAGCAAAGACTGTAGTATTCTTCTTCTTCTTCTTCGTCGGCGTCTTCTTTTTTTTTTTTTTTTTTTGTGAAGCGTACATGCCCATCTGTCCTTTGGGACATCCGTTAAAATTGGAACGATACAGAGAAGGGTAGATTAGTAATTACTGATTAGTAATTGCTAATTAGCAAAGCTAAAAGAGAAGCGCGTACATGCTGATCTGGCTGATTAATAACAGAATTGACTATAGGAGTCGGAGTTATCGGAGTCAGAGTTATCGGAGTCGGAGATAATCGGACTAATCTGACTGTGTCTAGAGACCGACCTGAAGATCGTAGATCTTCCCATCGGCAGGACATTACCTGTGAAAGTCGTGAGTTGCAGAATTGATCGCCTCTGAGGGCGTACTCACACTAGCGGTATTTCAAATCTATCTGACCGCATTCGCGGTCATACCTGGATGTATCTCGCCGCAGTTGTGAGTATGCCCTGAGTTGAGTTTCGTCCCTTCGAGATGGTGTTACGTTTGAATCATCGCGATAACGCTGCGGGACCAGATGCCCCACCCAGACTTACAGCTCAGAACGATTGTGAGCAAAAGACTTTGCTGTCCTGAGTATCCAAAAAGCATCGTCATCGAGTATAATGTCGAGAGGAGCTTTGTTCTTTTTATTTTCTCAACTTCTCAAGGTTCACCCCTCTGTATATGTCACAGTTTACGAACAGTTCATCAGCTACTTCACATTGTCAAGTAACTTGCGATGAAACAAGTTAAAAAAACACAGTTTTTTATAACTTCATAACTTCATAACTCCATAAGTTCCCATAACCTACTTCACAAGGAATACCTTTCTCAGCCTTTCCTTTTGGCTACGTAAGATCAAGTGTACTAGTATGATACTACTATCTGTTCTGTCTGAAACTTGAATCTTCTGATTCGTTTTATTAACTTTTATTAACTTTTATTAACGTTTATTAACTTTTGGCCCATCGGACCACACACACAAAAAAAAAAAAACGGTGCACAAGGAACTGGAGGAGGAAACAGTTGAAGAGCTAATTCACAAGCAACTTGACAAAAAAACATTGCATTTTAAAATTATAAGCTACTTCAGAGTTCAGACTTCCAAATTTCAAAATCAACTGTGAGAACACTGAGAAGTGTTCATTTACAGACTGCACGACCGTGTTCTAAATTTTCAATATTTTTTAAATTTTTATTTATTTTTTGACTGAAATTTTGAGTCTTTTTTTACTCTTTTTGATATGGTTGGTTGTTTGAAGGAGAGGCGAAGGCCACCCTTCAGTTTGGACAAACTGACAGATGAATATTTGGCATTATTTGCACAAGAGAGAGAGAGAGAGAGAGAGAGAGAGAGAGAGAGAGAGAGAGAGAGAGAGAGGTGCAGTTGAGCATGATGAATTTGTGTGTGCAGATCAGATGTGGATTCAGCCGCTGATGTTGGGGAGGCCTCCAGAGGAGGAATGTAGCTGCGCCATGCCATTGTGCTTAGATACAGGCACAATTCAGTTAGCAAGTATGAGGCATAATCTCTTTTTTTTCTTTTTTTTTTTTGTTGAAATTTCTGCCTCTTCAATCTCCAAGGAGATGCCCAATCCATCATTCATTGCACTAGCACCTTTCTTCCTACCTCGATAGTCTGAGAGTACATTCCATCTGCCAGCATTGATTGCCCTGGAAACCAGGGGATTGACTGTGCAGATGGTAAAGGAAAAGAGGATGATATTGAGAATGACATTGAGAATTAAAAAAAAAAAAAAAAAAAGAATGACATTGAGAATGTGTAGCTAGTGTCCCACCCCGGGGGACACTGGGGGAAGAATGACATTGAGAATGTGTAGCTAGTGTCCCACCCCGGGGGACACTGGGGGAAAACACCTTGATCAGTTTGGAATGATAGCCAGGGAAAGGGGGTGAGGCGGGAATGGGTCCGGGAACTCAGACGGGGGTCTCATTGGGAAGGAAGGCTCAATATTAATCCCGTCATTAAAAGCCAAATTGTAATCTCTAGAGGGACCCTGTTCTGTCAAAGCAACTCGGTCCCCCCCCCAACTCCACCCGTGCTATCCGTCCCGCCCGCTGTCCCCCTGGCCAATCTGTGCAGAAGGATGTAATTGCGTTCTAAATATCCCGGTTGGTCTGAAAGATGTTTAGCTGGGCCTTGAGCTTGCGCCACCTTTGTGTTACCTCCAGCTCGATGAGCTCTTTAAACTGTCCTGTCAGTTCAGGGCCCTCTACCCTGACCCCTTCCAGAGCCAGGGTACAGCGCTGCCACCACAGCACCCATAGGATCGTCCGTCTTCCTAATCTGTACCAATTGTTCTCAAATGTGGATGCTTGTGCCATTGCAGGGCAGTGACCTACCAGTATGGCCTGCCAGGACCATGTCCAAGGCGTTTCAGATCCCTTTTTTTGCCGGATGCGATCCCACCAACGCCATGTTAGCAATGCGACAGGGCATTGCATGAAAATGTGTCAATAGTCTCGTTTCGCTTTTGCGAGGGATAGGCTGTGGCGCATCTCTGGCACCATGGAAGCGCCACCCATTTTTGTTCCAAGCGAGTGTGGTCTATCAGCCAGGCATTTGTTGGCAGGCAGCGGTGGGCGATCTTTTTTTTTTTTTTTTTTTTAAACAACCCAGAACAGCTGTTAGGGGTGCTGGGCGATCTGCCTCTGCAAGGCTGTGATTTTGGTCACTGCAAGGCTGTGATTTTGGTCGGTCTCACCTTCGTCTCACTGAACCATCGGCATAATCTGTATTTGGATTACTATGAATAGTATGAAGGGATGGTTGATGCCAGTCTCCTGTATGAGGCCTGTGACCCATCTCCGTACTTCCGTTCATCCCCCCTACCCGCTTTTTAATTGCCCGGCATGCCATCCTCGAATAACTGTGAGCATGAGTCTGCTTTCCTGCTGGCATGCCAGCAACATACCATGTGTCGCCCATGTCTCGAGGAAGCTGTCATGGAGAGCCTGTATGTATGTGTCTCTACTCCATGTATGATCCCCGATGTCATCATCCGCCACATCCTCTCTGTTCATGCCCCACATGTAACACTGAGATTCCTTTCCATTCGAACCTTCTCCATCCATGCCGGACAAGGAACCTGATCACATGCTAGTCGAACATTCGGCGGGGTCATCACCGTGCCGCATAGAGCAGTTCTCTGGGGATACCCTCTCCAGATGACGGTGCTGGATCCAAAGTAAGGGCATACTCACATTAAGACCAGGATAGAGGCTTTGGACAAGGGTTTAAAAAAAAAAAAAAAAAAGACTTTTTCGGCTCAGCTCTGGACATAATTGCGGTCAGATGCATCCGGACTGGGTCTCAATAGTGGACATAATTGCCGTCAGATGCATCCGGACTGGGCCTCAATTGCGGTCCGATGCATCCAGGAAAGTCGTAGTGAGAGTATGCCCTAACAAAGAATATTTAGCACTTGCTGCCTCAGGATGCTCTTTGTGTCATGAGCACTATGAGGGTATAGCCCATGCAAGCTTGTGTCTTTATTATAAGCTTATACTTAATAATATGATGACAGTCAACCGTGTACTCATATACGACACTCTCACATGGCAGGTCCTATGTATAGACGGGCTGGAACAGCAGTGTGTCTATACGACGGCGGTCGCCATGGCTCTGTGTTCCTAGATTGTGGGAACCATGTTGCCAGCGACATCCACCTGTGCCGCACCATTCGACACAACGACTGCAACTGCGAGAATGGATGCGGCGCTTCCACAGGCCGCACCCGAACCGGTCCTCTCAAGTCTGCAGGGGTGGCTTACCATAGGCATTGTCTGCTCTTCAGCTCATTTTTCTCTCAGCAACCCGGCCAACCCCTGACTGGCCTCTTGTGCCATTCTCTAGCAGTCCGCTCTGTTGGTGACTATTGAGGACGCAATGCACCTCCTCTTTCCCCTTCTCGTCTCCTCCCTCCGCTCTCCTCCTTCTCTCCCTCCCTCCGGCGCTTTCCCCGCTGTTGAACTGCCGAATGCATAACAAAGAACATCCCTGAGAGAACTATCGGCAAACGGCAACGAAGTCGACTTTGCGAACTGAAACGTCTAAGTAGCTAAAGGGAAGCAAGGGAAGCACGTCAACCTAGACTCCGTTAGTACTGGCGAGCGAACACGGATTAGGCTCTAAATAGTAAATACCACCCGTGCGAATTAGAACAGAGAAAGTATAGCTTGAAAGTGCAGGTGTGCTGAAAGGCAACCGGTGTGCGCACTGCCTACGCTTAGGCACACAGGTTTGGTGGGGTGGGCCTTGCACCTGTCAGCATACAAGAATGAGACAACAGTGCTCCCCACCAATAGATGGAGCCTCTGTCTTTGAAAAGAAAAAGAAGAAGAAAAAAAAGAATGAGACAACAGTTTCATCAGAACATTGCAGTCATTTAAACTCTAACATGAAACTTTGATAGAAGATTATAAGGTAACCGGCTCTTCCGATTTCAAT